GATACATGCTGGTGACAGGCTACTCCTGGACACCACAGAAAAGCACGGTCTTCTGTGCTGCCCTGGGCTGGGTTGCAGGTGGGGAGACTTTGGGATGGATAAGCAGAAGGGTCCCTGAAAAGGAGAGACTGCAGGGGCACCTACCCACTCGTGTAGGCTCGGAGGTAGGTTATTAGGATCCAGGAGTGAGGGCTAATGCCTGCAACCTCACTTCTGACCATTGCGCAGACCCAAAACCCGCCAATCCAGTGACTCGTTGGCTTGTGTATTTCCTGTGCGCCTCGGACTTCCTGCTGCTGTTGCTATGGCTCCGAGGGCGGGACCAAAGACTACCTTGCAGAGCATGTTCTTAGTGAATGTAATCCTGTAGCCTGTGACCCCCTTTTTTTTGCCGCCTGGCTCCCACAGCCTTTCTCACTTGGGCAGTGGGTCGACGAGCCCAAGAAAAGCTGGATTTTCGTTCGCAGTGGTTGAATATAGGCTGCTCTGTCCAGTAGATGGTAGTGCTGCTCTTTGCTGCCGCCTGCTGCTTGTCTCCCCCCCCCAACCCGCCCTTCGTGCTAGAAAAAAATGCGACAGAGCTCTCCCCCGCCCCCCGCCCCTTCATTTTCCCCCCTCTTCTTTTTCTTCTCCCTTAAATGCTATAGATTCCATGGGATTTTCAGTGGGGGTATTCTCAGGGTTCTTTTACTAAAATGCAATATCTGGTTTCTGGGTAACTCCAACTAATATTTTCTCTTTATTAAATGTTCTGTCATTTTAGTTATCTTGGCATGTAAGGATCTAGTTTTATATTGAGGCCACATACTGTTTGTGGTCATAGTATCTTATAATTTTCCTTACAAGTTTTTCATTCCTAGTGGTACATTTTATTTTTTTCTTAAACTGTATTTTTCATACTTTGAAATCAATTTTGAATATATTTATGAGGTATGTGAAGTTTTGTTCATTCATTATGTAATACTCAGTGCAATATCTACCTGCTGTCACCACAAAAACATAACTCTCACCTCAAAGGGAAGAGTTTATTCTGGAGATGAGTGACCCTGGCCCTGGAACACAGATTTAGGTTACCCCAAATACCATGTTTAGATGTGGTAACAGTTTCATGAAATTTTATAGTAACAGACAAAGAAAAATCACAATTGAAGACCCTTTTCAAATACATTTAGGTAACCAGATGTGAGTGAGAATTCTTTGACAGAAATCAAGTCTGCAAAGGCTTATTGACTCTTTAAAACCTTGGACATGGTGGTGCCTGCCTTAATTCCAGCAGTGGTAGGCAGATCTCTGTGAGTTTGAGGCCAGCCTGGTCTACATAGTGAGTTCTAGGACAGCCAGGGCTACATAGAGAAACCCTGTCTCAAACAAACAAACAAAACAGCCCACCTCGATGTGGAGAGGCTGGAATGTGGCAGTACCAGGACCTAATAACAGTTTATCTTAGTGACCTTTAGCCTACTGAAAAGCCTTTTCTTTCCCCTCTCTCTGTCAGACCTACCATCCTGACAAACAGATAAAACATTTAGGAATGAATTAACTAAACCAAATCAAGTTTTCTACCAACCAAAGGGCGAAAAGTATTGTCAGGTAGCCTTGAAGGCCTACAGCAGGCCTCTCCCCATCTTGCTCCAACCTGCCTGCCTGATGTGCCCACTGATGTATTTGGAAAAGTGTCTTGATTTGTGGGCTGCTTTATTCTGTCACTATAAAAAGTGTATGAAATTGCTACCTCACTGGAACATGGATGGTATTTGGGGGAGAGCTAAATCTATGTTCCTGGACCATGGCAACTCATATTTGACTCCAGAATAAACCACGTCTTTTATTGCTTTGAGGTGAGAGCTGTTTCTTTCCTTGACAGTGGTTATAGTGAGGGAGTTGGGGAGCTCTGCTCTAGGCCTCAGATCCTGTTCTTAGCTTTTGGGATGTACCTACTAGTCACAGGCTGTTCAATCATGTCTGTTGAGTAGAGCTCTATTTCAGAGTTATGATAGCCCAAGATAATTTGGCTTTGGTCCTGTAGCATTCCAACTGTCGATAGCTTTGTAGAATATTTAAAGTAGATGTGGCTTTTCCTCTGAGAACTTTAGTCTACACCATTTATTATTTTTTTAGGGTAGAAAGGTTGAAAATACTTTAAAAACAAAAGTTCATATTGCATAGTGATTTCAACTTTTTTAAAAATGAGATTGTTAACATGAGATACTTTTCCTATTTTATTTTTAAAAATATATGGTTGCATTATGTAGCCCTGGCTGGCCTGAAACTCATTATACAGTCCAGGCTGACCTTGAATTCCTTAGTTCTGGGAATAAAGGCATGCACCACCATGCCCTGCTTATATGTCTTGTGAAACACAGTTGTTTGCCTTTATTCATTTATATACCTTAGTTAATGCATAGTCTATTATAGAAGAGTAGATGAATAGCAGTTGAACATAGGTCAGTCAATATTGAGAGACTGGCCAGTGCCGTTCTGAAGGGACAGGGGGTGGCCTCCTTCTCCCATGGCAGATTGAAAGGGAGACAGATTCCGATCCCTAATGCTGAAGTTGTGGAGATGGGGGCTAGGAGGCCTCCAGTGCAGTAATACAACTAATGATGAGAATCATGTGAGAACTCTGAATGAGGGGAGAGGTTATACATCTTGTACCAGGCCAGACCCATATGTACAGCAGTTCTCTGAAGTGACCAGCTTCTGACATGTTTGAAAATGAAATAGAACAGGAATAGTAGATATTTCTAGTGATTTTTTTTAAAAGATTTATTTTATTTATTATGTATACAGTGTTCTGCCTGCATGTGTCTTTGCAGGCCAGAAGAGGTCACCAGATCTAATTGCAGGTGGTTGTGAGCCACCATGTGGTTGCTGGGAATTGAACTCAGGACCTCTGGAAGAGCAGTCAGTGCTCTTAACCACTGAGCCATCTCTCCAGCCCTTCTAGTGATTTTTGAAATGACCCTGAACATAATGCTGCCACACTTATACTTTGATATGTCTCTATAGAGAAGTAATATCTGTGTGTCTAACTTACTTGATCACTATAGCGATTCTTTATATAATTACAAAGCACCTTTCAGTGCTATGTAAATACCAAAAAATCCACTGGTCATTTTGTACCAATACTGACTTTTCTTAGACTAAAAACAAAAACAAAAACAAAACAAAAAACCCAACAACAACAGAGGGAGATGTTCTTCCCTTCACAGAGATAATATAGATGCTAGTTAAACTTCCTTTTATTTTTAGCATTGTTTGTACTTGTCACCAGTCATTTAGTTCCTTGATGCCTTGCATTAAATTACCCCTGTACCTATTGGCATACCTTGACAGGCTGGTCATTATTACAGCTTGCAGGCTTCACAGCTGGGTAGGACTGTTAATGGCTTTTCTTTCCCAGCAGCCAGCCTACACAGTAGCTTTCATTAGTGGGAAAGCTAGCCAGTGGGAGGAAGTTCCCCAGTCAGTACCAACTTGATTACTCCAAGTCCTGTGGCCAAATGGTGTCTTCAGCAATAGGGTCTTACCAGCAAGTTCTAGTGGGCAACCACTAGCAACAACCTGTGTTGTTTGGGGGATTGCTGGGGATCTCCAGCCTGGGGGGAGGGGGACCCTCTCCAAACCCCACCCTCAGAAAGCCCACTAAGGGTCAGGCCCCCCCCCATTTAAAACCTCCTTGATAGACCTGCCATGTGATTTTCTCTCCTGCCTTTCTGAGAGTCACCCCGGAGTTGCTTTGCTCTGTTTTTAAGCCTGGTCTTATTAATTTGGCTTGATTGGCTTATTGCATCAGCGGAGGATACCCAATGACTGGGAATCCAATGCTTATCAGAGATATCTGGAACAACCCAGAGAAACAGCTTGAGGGGAGGCATTTCATACCTGGCACTAAGGTTTTTATTTGGCAACCTCTGGCTTCTGGAAGAAACATTATCCTTTCTGCAGGGTAACTCCAATTAAACTCTTTTATACTTACATTGGTTTGCACTCCCACCAATAGTTAATGAGGGCTCACCTCTTCTCACATCCTCACCGACCTTTGTTGTCACTTGTTTTCTTAGTCTTAACCATTTCTGATTGGGTAGATTAAATCTAAATGTAGTTTTAAGTTGCATTGCCCTAATGACTAAGTGGATCAAATACTTTAAAAACTATTCTTAGCATTTGTGTTTGTTCTTTTGAAAATGTTCTGTTCATTTCCATAGCCCACTTTAAAATTGAGTTGTTTGTTTTCTTGGTGTTTAATTTTTTGAGTTCTTTATATACCTTAGACACCAGTTCTCTGTAACATATAGATGTGAAGACTCATGCTCTACCCCCTGATTCTGTATATTGATTCCAGTTAATTACCAGTTTCTCTTGCAGTATAGAAACCTTTTAAGTTGATGAAGTCCTGCTTGTTGAGTGTTGGCCCTATTTTCTGAGAAAGTCGTTATCTGAGCCTGTCCTGAAGTGTGCTCCCTAGAAGTTTCAGAGTTTCGGGTCTCAGGTGTCACAGTAAGATCTTTGATCCATTTGGAATTGATTTTTGCATAGGGTGAGAGATAAGAATCCAATTTTAATCTACATTTAGATACCCAATTTTCACAATACTTTTTGGTAAGGATGCTGTCTTTTCTCCAGTGTATATTTATGACACTTGTCAAAAATCAGGTGGCAGGGCTAGGGAGCCTGCATGGGACCAGACTAGGCATTCTGCATATGCGTGACGGTTGTGTGGCTTAGTCTACTTGTGGGACTCCTGGCAGTGGGTACGGGGCCGGTTCCTAATGCTTTGGCTGGCTTTTGGGAACCTCTTCCTAATGCTGGGTTACCTTGCTGAGACTTCATATGAAGCAGGGAGCTTAGTCATACCTCAACTCGATATGCCATGCTTTGTTGGCACCCATGGGAAGCCTGCCATTTTCTGAACAGAGGTGGAGGAGGGGTGGATTGGGAAGGGGGGCAGAGGGGAGGTGGGGGAGGGAATGGGAGGAGTGGGGAGGAGAAGCTGTAGTTGGGTTGTAAAATAAATGAAAAATTTAATTAATAAAAAACTGAAAAAGAATCAGGTGGCTGTAGGTGCATGTACTTATATCTGGGTCTTTAGTTCTATTTCCACTGGTAAATTTGCCCGTTTATGCGTCAGGTACAATACTGTTTTCATTGCTGTGGCTCTGTAATCTTTGAAATCAGGCATGGCAATACTTGCAGCAGCATGTGTATTGCTCAGGATTCTTTGTGCTACTCATATGAGATTCAAGATTGTATTTTCAGTATCCATGAACAATTCCTCTGGGATTTTGGTGGAGATTACATTGAGTCTGTAGATTGCTTTTGATAGGATGGCCAGTTTGTTTTACAGTATTCATCCTATTAATCCACTTGCATGGAGGTCTCTCCAGCTTCTGGTGTCTTCTTTAAGTTCTTCATTGTTTTAAAGTTTTCATTTTATAGGTCTTTCATTTCCTTGATGTATTAGTTACTTTTCTGTTGCTATGATAAAATACTATTCCCAAAAGTGACTTATGGAAGAAAGAATTTATGTTGGGTTTATGGTTCCAGAGGGATAAAGAGTCCATCATGGCAGGAAGGCATAGCAGCATCAGGCATCAGGCAGCATCAGGCAGCATCAGGCAGCTGGAGCAGGAAGCTGAGAGCTCTCGTCCTAGCTATAAGCAAGAAGCAGAGAGAACAGTTAGGAAGTAGGGCAAGGCTTTAAGCTCTCAAAACCTTCCCATAGTGACACAGTTCCTCCAGCAAGGCCATACTTCTTCAACCTCCCTAAACAGTGTCACCAACTGGAACCAAGTATTCAAATATCAGAGCCTGTGGGGGACGTTTCTTACTTAAACAAGCACAGTTGGTTAGGTTTCTTCCATGGTATTTTATTTATTTAAGTTTAAGGATATTGGGAAGGTATATTTGTCTTTGGTATATATAGCAAGGACATTGATTTATGTATGTTGATTTTTGTGACCTGCCACCTTGCTGAAAGTGTTTATCAGATCTAGGGGAGTCTTTGGGGTCTTTCAGTTACAGAAAAATTATATGCAAATAGGGGTACTTTGACTTCTCAATTCCTTCTCTTATCTTAATGCTCTAGCTAGTACTTTAAGAACTATATCAAATTGGAGTGGGGAACATGGATACCCTTGTTTTGTTCTGATTTCAGTGGAACTTAACTCCAGCTTTTATCCATTTAGCTTTGTAATGAATAGCCTATTATGTTGAGATACATTCCCTTCACCCTAGTCTCTCTAGGGTATTTTTATTAATCATGAATAGGTATTAGTTTTTGTCAAAGATCTTTTCTGTATCAACTGAAACCATCATGTATATGTATACATATATGTTACTATGTATTTTATGTAATTTTAGGTAAATACAACATAATATGATTCATTACTAATTTTTCAAATTATTTGTTCCCCCTCGTTCTGTATTATTCTTCCTCCTCCTTCTCCATTTAAAAGTCGACTCCTTGTTTTTCCCATTTTGCTCTTCAGAGCACTCATAGCCTACTATTTCCCTCTCTAGTGATTGTCCTCCACCACATGGTGCTTTTTTAAATTCCTGGTTACTGCAATGTTACTCAAGGTTACATATTCACATCTGAAGATTTGGGGCTAGGAACCATAGATGACAGACAACATACAGTCTGTGTCTTTCTGGTCTGAGTTACTCTACTCAATATAGTATTTTATAGTTCCATTTCCATGCAAATTTCTTGATTTCATTGCATACATTTTCATTATTCATTCATCAGTTACAGACATTTAAGATTTCCTAGCGATCTTAGTTTGGGTTGCTATTGCTGTGAATAGACACCATGACCACAGCAACTCTCTTTTTTGTTTGTTTGTTTGTTTTGTTTTTGTTTTTTTGAGACAGGGTTTCTCTGTGTATTTTTGGTGCCTGTCCTGGAACTCACTCTGTAGACTAGGCTGGCCTCAAACTCACAGAGATCCACCTAACTCTGCCTTCCGAGTGCTGGGATTAAAGGTGTGCATTACTACCGCCCGGCTCCACAGCAACTCTTATAAAGGAAAACATTTAATTGGGGCTGGCTTACAGTTTCAGAGATTTAGTCCATTATCTTCATGGTGGTATGCAGGCAGACATGGTGCTGGAGAAGGAGCTGAGAGTTCTACATCTTGATCCACAGGGAGCAGAATCAATTGTGTCCTACATTGGGTGCAGCAGAATCAGCTATGCCCTACACTGGGCGTAGCTTGAGCATAGCATAGCAGACCTCAAAGCCCACCTCCACAGTAACACACTTCCTCCAACAAGGACATACCTATTCCAACAAGGCCACACCTCCTCATAGTACCACTCCCTTTGGGCCAAGCATTCAAACACATGAGTCTATGGGGGCCATACCTATTCATACCACCACACTAGCTTTTGTGAATAGAGTGGCAGTGAACACTACTGAGCAAGCGTTGTGGAACAGGACGTTTTTGGACATGTGCCAAGGAGTACTATAGTTGTGTAATATGTTAGACTTATTCCTAGATTAGTGAGAATTCTTAAAACTCTTTCCAGAGTGGCTCTACCAGTTTTGAATCCCCCCAACAGTGAATGAGGGTTCCCTTTTCTCAAATTACTCAACAGTATTTGTTGGTGGTTGTTTTGCTGATCTTAGCCATTCTGACTGGTGTAAGATGAAATCTTAGAGTTGTAATTGAATTCCTCTAATTGCTAAGATTATGAACATTTTACAGCCATTTTTATTTCTTTTGAGAATTCCGTTCAGGTCCATAATCTATTTTAATTGGTCATTTGTTTTCATGACTCTTTATTTTTAAGTTCTTTGTATATTTGGGATAGTAATCCTCTGTCAGATGTCTAGCTGGCCAAGATTCTCACCTACTCTGTGAGTTTCTTCTTCACCCAATTGGTTGTTCTCATGGCTGTACAGAACCTCTTTAGTTTTATGAGGTGCCACTTGTCAATTTTTGGCCTTATTTCTGGGCAAAGTGAGTCCTTTTCAGAAAGTCATTTCTTACACCTATCTCATGAAGGATACTCGCCGAATTTTCCTCTCTAAGTTTCAATATTTTGGGTTTCACATTGAGTTCTTTGGTTTACTTGGAGCTCTTTTTTTTTCTTTGAGCAGGGTGATTTAAACGAGTCTAGTTTCACTCTTCTACAGGTTTTCCCCGCACCATTGTTGAAGATGCTGCCTTTTGTCCAGTGTGTGTTTTGGCGTCTTGGTTGGAATGGAGATGTGACAGCTGTCTAGGGGATTACTGAATTTGCTCCCTGACATGAACAAAGAATTGAATGACTAGGAAAGACAGAAGACAAAGCCACAGAAAAGGGGAAAACAGCAGCTTTATCCTGTCAGGATGGCAGAAGCCTAAGGCTAGAAGTCCACTAAACCGAGGCTGAATTGGGTACTTTATAGGGCCCTTGGTTCCTCTTCTTTCCCCTACTGGTCCTGTCTAGATACCTGCCATTTTTCCTCACAGAGTCTTCTGGGAACCAAAAGCAGCCATCTTATAGAGCCTGCTTTGTTTTCCTTGTTTACCTATGTCCCTCTGACTTTGCTCAATATCCTGTGGTGGTTTGAATAAGAATGGCCTCCATAAGGTCATATATTTGAATGCTTAATCACCAGGGAGTGACACTATTCAAAAGGATTATAAGGATTAGGAAGTGTGGCCTTGTTAAAGAAAGTGTGTCACCGAGGGTGGGCATTTAGGTTTCAAAGGCCCATGCCAGGCCCAGTGTCTCTCTTTCTGCCTACAGATAAGGATATTGCTCTCAGGTACTGCTCCAGTGCCTCTCTGCTTGCTGTCATGTTCCCTGCCATGGTGATAATGGATTAAACCTCTGAAACAATAAGCAAGCTCCCAATTAAATGCTTTCTCTTATAAGAGTTCTCTTATAAGCCCTGGTCATGGTATCTCTTCATAGCAATAGAACAGTGACTAAGACATACCCCCCTCTCAGAGATTGATACTGACTGCTGTTGGAGGAGTGAGTGTTGACTGCTCTACTTACTTTCTGCTCAGAGGAAGTGGAATCTAGAGGTGTCAATTCAAATGATGGGTGGTCCAGAGTGCTGTGGCCAGATTCTAGAGGGCAGTGTATCAGGGACTCTATCTACAGGACCTTCTGTAGTAGGTATGTGCTATAAATAGTTTTGAGTGAAGTTATGTCACTTGGGGTACTTACTAATGCTTCCTTGAAGAGCCATAGACTGTCTAACAATGCCCCCCCCCAAGTACCAAGCCTGAGAAACTTCCTTTCCTGTTGTTGGTCAGAGGAGTCCAAGAGACTCCCAAAACAATATAGGCTATTGCTATTGCCTTTGCTCCCAGAAGTTGAAGATAAATCCCTAGTGTTGATGACATCTTGCTCTTCAGACACAGGACTTGGAGGATTTGAGCTGAACCTGACCTGAAAGCATCTTCCCTGAGGACTAGCTTTCATAGTGATGCAAGCTGCTGAAAGAAGGAAAGAAGGAAGCAATCAGTAGTCCTACCAGTCTGTGAGGCCTGTGACAAAAACATGACCAGTATTGTTAAGGTATCTATAAACATACAATGGTGACACTCATATTCTGGTGGCAACCAGCTCTTGTCTAATTGGACTTACAGCCCTCCTAAACAGTGGAGAAATCATGCCTAGTACTGTAAACCCAGCCAACTACCTGTTGCTAATGAGGTCATGGATCTTCAAGGAGAACCTATTGATGCCATGCCTGATAACAGTAATTAACCTAACTGCATTCTAAATATTTGCCCTTATACCCACAGATAAATATAGCTCTCATCCCTCATTAAAGAAGTTTCTCTTTGCAAAAGACAAGACAATTACAGAAAACTACAACTGGTGAAAATGCAGAGAACAACTGATTGTAGGATGCCCAACCCAAATTGGTACATCTGCCACACAACCCCCAACTCTGAAGTTCATGGAACATCATAGAGGGGATGGAAAGATTTCAAGAGCCAGAGGACCAATAAGTTTGCTGTGGGATTGTGTCTACTAGAAATGACAGAGAATGATACCCATGATACCTCAAAAATATGGCTGCCAATGGACCTGAATAATGACCACACCAATAGGCATGCTTACTTTGAAGGGGGAAATCTCATAGGACCCGTAGACAAAGAACTACAGGCAACTAATGATGACTGAAGAAGGGATAATTAGTCTTCCCCCAGGAATGAGCCTCTAAATTTGTTATCCACAAGGGATCAACCCTGAAAATCATATACATACAAGTAACAGTAAATAGACTCAGAAGATTGTATTTATATATTTATGTATATGAAAGAATAATAATAAAGAAAAAGAGGCCATGAATTTGAGAGAGAGTTAGGGGCAGACATGAGAAAGATTAGAGAGAGGAGGAGGAAATGATATAATTATATTTTAGATTTTTTAAAATTGGAAAAGAAAAGAAAAGAGCATGGTAGAGAGAGATGAGGCTGGACTCATGACCCTTATCTCTTGCACTACTCTCTGGTCTTCCTTAATGGTGAGTCTACCCTGGAGTTAAATAGTCCTTCTTTGTATACCTACATATCTAGAACTTGTGTAGTTATTGATGTCTATAAACATACCAATTTGTGTGTGTGAACTTTACCTAAAGGAACTAAGCAGGACAAATGAAACAGAATTCAGAAAAAAATATCTTAAGCAATTTCAATGATTGAATTGCCTCTTGTCTTTCCATCCTTCCCCCTTCCCTTCCTTCCTGTCTTTTCCTCTGTTCATTCAGCTCTTTCCCCCAGTCTCAATTCCTTGTTGCCTTACTCTTTTCTTAGTGATGTGAAAATAGTTGTGTGGTTGTTCACCTGTTTTCTTCATTACTATCCTCTTGCCTAAAAGATCTCTTGGGCCAATGGGATACTTTTATGCCAAATCCCTGTGACTTAAGAAAACTCACTGGCAGCAGTGTAGAAGTTTGCTGAAATGTTTGCATATGGTGACTATCCTGGCATGTACTCAAGAGGGACTGGCTGGCTTTGGACAAGATCCTGTTGCATTTTCCCAGGGATCAGCTGTGCATCTTGACTGTCTCTTGAGAGCGTGTTGGAATCAGGAAAGGTATGAGCATCAGTCTCTGCAAGGCTCAAAATATCTAATGGAGATCGTGCCTACAGAAAGCAGATGTGCTCTACAGTGGCTGCTTACTGTTGCTCTCCTTGTCAAAATGGACATAGTAATTTGGAGATGGGGTCATAGCTCTTGAGTGGGGTATGTTCATATGTTTGAGGTGAGCAAGGACATGTCTTTGATCTACTATAAAATAGTCCATTGAGCAGCATGTGGCAGGTTAGAAGGTCGAGGTCAGTGCTTAGCTTTGTTGAGCTGTGCAACTGTCCTTATCCCATTTGAGGGAGCAGAGTCGGGTCACTATGGGGAAGCACGTGTCCAGAAAATAGGGTTTGCTGACCTCATTTTGGGTAGTTAAAAGTGCCGCATTATTGCTGAAATGACTTTGGCACAGCAGAGTGTGACTTTCTCTCTGAGTTCAGCCTTCTCTTCCACATTATGCTGCTGCTTTTGCTGCTGTAACAGCAGTGGTGAAGAAAGAGGTAATATTTGGCCTTCCAGTGGGAGCAGTAGTGGTACAGCAATCGAAAGCATATTAGAAGACACTTTCTGAGGGCAATTTTAGGTTATTCTTAAAGATACTCCCTAACAGATTCATGGTATACGTTACTATTTGACTTCTTTTGCTGCTGTAATTAAGAAAAATGTCTAGCAACAGGTATACAATGATTTCAAACAGAAACCCTTTTGATAGTACCAAACCAAAGTCAAAAATGTCCTTCCTTCACTTGGAGCTTCTTTCTCCCCTTTAGTGTGTTCCCCCCTAGAGTAACATGGCATCAAACAGATAGTTCCTTGGCATCCAGGGATTTTGTGCTCTGTTTTATATGTATGCCCTGACTTCCCTAGATGATGGACTGCACGCTGTGAAAAGAAGTAAGCTGTTTCCTCCCAGGTCGCTTCCAGTCGTGGTGTTTTATCACAGCAGTGCAGACCCTGAGATTCCAGGTATGTAATTCTTCCCATGGGTCAGGCCTCAAATCCAGTCAGAAAATAATTGGCTGCTTCCAAAGCAATCTTGTCAGTATTGCACAAGTGGGAGCATCTTGCCCTTTAGGGTGCTTTTATAGTACTCGGGATCCAGAGCTGGGTAAGGCCGTTGATGTCTTATGTCTTTTTTCTCCACAGCCTGCACGGGACCTTCCAGCACTATGAACACCAGCCAGCAGAGAGGAAACTTCCAGCTTAGGTCTAGCTTGATGTATGTATGTCCTGCATGCAAGGTCTGGGGTTTCATCAGTAATAGGGTCTTGCTGTCTAGTTCCGGTGGGTGACCTACCAAAGGCGGTACCCTCCATTGTTTTAGGAGCCTCTAGCCAACAACTCAGAAGGAAATAGCCCACAATTGGTGGTGAAATTTTTGTTTCAAAATCTGTGGCTTTTGTGAGCAGCATTATCCATTCATTTAGGGTACCTCCATTCAAAAGTTTTAGCTCTCTGATTGGACTTAAGCCCTGCTCAATGAGAGGGAAACCGTGCCTGGTACTGAAAACCTAGCCGACCACCGAGAGCTAGTGAAGTCGTGGATCTTGGAGTAGAACCAACAACCACCACTTTACTAAAGTAGCATAATACCTAACTGTATTCTAAATCTTTATACTCACAGGTAAGTGTAGGCCTCACTTACGAATTTTATTTCTTTTTGCAGCAGACAGAGACTATTACAGAAAACAACAACCCATCAAACTGCAGAGTTTTGGAGCCTGGTTCCAATGGATACATCTACAAAGCAACTACATCCAAGGCTCTGGGAATATTTCAGGAGAAGGGACAGAATGATTCTAGGAACTAGAGATTCAGGGAACAAGCTGTGAGGCTGTCTCCTAGTAATGCCAGAAGTTACCCATAATGTCTCAGCAATGTCACTGCCCAAACATGAGCTGAGCAAGGACACCAATAGACATGCCTGATTGGACAGGGGCAAGCTGAACTAGGCCTCAGCCCTAGAAAAGCACAACAGCCAACTAAGGAATACTGAGAGCTGGAGAAAGAGTCTTCCCCTGAGAAGAGTAGCAATTGTTAATCCTGTACCAAATGATCAGTCCTGGAAACATACATACAAGTAACATGATAAAGACTGAGCAGGTTGTATTTAGAAATTCATATATATATATATATATATATATATATATATATATATATATATATACACACACACACACACATATATGTATATAATATATATACATATATACGTGTCTATTATATATACATATATATAAATATATAATATATATACACACACATATATAAAAACACATACACAGATGCGTGGAAAAACAGTTAATGAAAAATGCCATTAATTTGAAAGAGAGCAGGGAGGGGTATATGTGAGTCTTTGGAGGGAGGAAAGGAAAGGAAGGAAAGATGTAATTATAATAGCAAAAAAAATTACATTTTTTAGTTTCCTTCTCAATTGACTAACTCTCTGCATGGCTGTTGCCTATGTCCTAAGTTTTAGTTGACCTTTTCCCATAACCCCATTGCCCATAGCACCATCCCCGTTTAAGCCATTTTAGCCCGAGAGTCCCCCCTCCCAACTCCACTCTCATGTCACATGCATTTTACTGTCCCTTCCCTCAAGACCTCCTCTCGTGGCTCCTTTCCTGATCCCTGACTTCTGCAGACACTAACTCCTATTTAAACACAGAAATGGAAAACTAAGAAGCTAGGGTCCACATGCCAGAGAATGTATGCGGCTTCTGTGGCTATTTTGACAGAGGTGCCAAAAGCATACATTGGAGAGCAGGCAGCCATCCTCATTGACACACAGTCCTGGAAAACTAGATATGCACGTTTAGAAGACTAAAACTGCATCCCTATCTTCCATCCTGAAGAAAAATCAGCTCCAACTGGATCAAAGACCTTCATATGAGACCTGAAATTCTGAACATGCCAGAGGGAAACATAGGGGAAATTCCTCAGGAGAAGGGTATGTATAGCCAAGAACCTTCTTAAAAGGTTCAGTAGCTCAGGAAATGGGCTTCATATTTGGCAGATGGGATCATGAGGCATTAACAACATTCTCCACAGCAAAAGCGAGCAAATTGCTGGAGTGAAGAGACAGCACTCAGAACAGGTAAAAAATATTTACTACATATCCATCAGGCAGAAAATTAATGAATAAATAGATTCCAACAACTACAAGAGAACGAAACAAGTCAAAAATCAGTGATTAAAACAAACACATTTCTCATGCATACTATACGACATGCATGTCAACAAGAGGGAGACTGTGATAAGAATAAGGAGACTAGTAGGTGGGAAGAATGAAATGAGGAGAAAAAAGAGTGTATGAGGTTGAAAGTGGCTAAGGTACACTTTGTATTGGAACATGAAGAGTATTAGACGCATTGCTATTTGCAGGGTGTGTACAGCATTAAAACATGGGTGAATAAGTCTGGCCCACCTCCTGAGGCCATGTTGATGTCCAAGAGCCGTGCTGCAGCTGTGCCGTGCTGCTCTGGGTGGCCTGCACTGCCACCTGGGGCCATGGTGACCTCTGGGCACAGGCTGCTGCAGAGGGCCATGTCTGGGTCCATTCTCCTGCTGCAGCCAGAGTCTGTGTTAAAGTCCATGGCCCATTTCACCCCCAAAGGTGGCACCGATGCCCAAGTGTGGGCTCCTAACTGTGGCTATGTTGGTGCCCGAGGCCCATGCCACTGCTGGGGCCATGCTGATCTGGGTGTCCTGAGCTGCTACTCAGGACCATGGTGAAGTCTGGGCCTGAGCTGCTGCCAAGGACCATGTCTGGATCCGGGGCCCTGAAGCAGCCAGGGCCTAAGTTGATGTCCGTGGATGGCTTCAGTTGCCACAGAAATCCATACAGATTCCCAGGGTCCAAAGCACCACCTGAGGTCATGTTGGTCTCTGAGGACCATGCTGCAGATGGGGCCATACAGATCTTAGTGGGATGCCCTGCTACCCAGTGCCCTGGTGACAACTGGTTAGGGCTTCAACTGAGGGCCATGTCTGGGTCCGTGGCCTTAATGTGGCCAGTTGCTGTGTTGATGTCCTGGCTCCTGTTACCATCAAAGGTCATGTAGATGCCAGGAGTCTGGGCCACCACCTGGGGACTTATTGGTGTTGGAGGGCGATCTGAGTGGCCTGGGCTGCTACCTGGGGACATGGTGGCATCTAGGCCCCTCTGCTGCTGAGGACCATGTCTGGGTCCTAAGTCTAAAACAGGCAGGGGTCTGTGTTGAAGTCACTGGCCTGTGTTACCACCAAAGGACATATAGAAGGTCAGAGTCTGAGCCACAAAACTGTGGCTTTGATGGTGTCTGAGGGCTGTGCCACTGCAGGAGCCATGCTGATCTGAGTAGCCTGTGCTGCCAAGCAGGGCCATGATGTTGTCTAGGTCTGAGCTGCAGAGGGCCCTGTCTGGATTCGTGGTCCTGCTGCAACTGGGATCTGTGTTGATATCTGTGGCCTGTGTTTCCACAGGGGGCCGTATAAGAACCATGCATGATGGAACCCAAGGGTCAGGCTGAGCCAGCCCTGCCCTAAGCTGGCCCTGCCCTCTCTGGACACCGCAGCAAAGAGCTGGCCCCAGCACTTGGGAGAGATGGCCCTACCGCTCGCTCACCATGGGTGTGGGAAAGCTGGCCCTCACAGCATGGGCATGAGAGCTGGCTCTGCTGCACACCTGAATGGGGCAGCCCCAGGGGCCAGGTCTGACCAGTTCAACTACCACCCAGGCCCACATCCAGGGCTTTGGGTTGGCCCACCCTAACATCCACCCCATCTCTGACCTGCCAGAGCACGTGAAGGGATTGGTCCTGTGGAACATTAAGCACAGCATGTCCATGACTCGGGGTGCCCTCCTGAAAACCAAGAAGCACTTCAGAGAGGGTCTAGTGATGAATGTGTACCAGAAACCAGAAGTCTTGAACCAGACCATTGCAATGAACATTTGCAAATAAAGCTGATAGGACAACAGGGTATACTGCGTGACACACTGAGGCTCCCACTGCCACCAAGACAAGTGAAGAGGTGTTGGAGAGGCAGAGAATACAGAGGAGCAAAGTGCTTTTGTTTACTTATTTAATCTCCTGACCATGGATGTTAACAAAATGGCTGGCCTCCCACGGATATCCACTTGTAGTAAGACAACACCTTGCCTTGTGTTAAGGCTGTTCAAGGCAGCCCAGTATGAGGAGTAGGGTCCCCCAAGCCTGTAAGAGTCAGAGACAGCTCCTGCCCCACTGTTAGTCCACAAGAACACGAAGGTACACAACTGTCACATATGTACAGAGAGCCTGGGTCACTCCCATGCAGGCTCCCTGGTTGTTGGTTCAGACTCTGTGAGTTCCTGGGAGCCAGGTGAGTTGATTCTGTGGGTTTTCTCATGATGTCTCTGACCCCTGTGTCTCCTACAATCCTTCCCCGCTCTCTTCAGCAGGATTCCCTGAGCTCAGCCTAATGTTCGGCTGTGGGTCTCTGGGTCTGCTTCCACCAGGTGCTGGATGAAGCCTCTCTGATGACTATTGACTAGACACCAATCTATGAGTGTAGCAGGATATCCTTAGGCAGCATTACATTGACATTTTTTCTTCCACTCATGTATGGTTCTATCCTAGGTCTCTGGGCTGTCCAGCCGCTGGATTCTGGCACTCCAGGCAGTGTCAGGGGTGGGCTCACTCTCGTGACATTGTTTGTTTGGTTTGGTGTTAATTTTCTTTTTTAATTTACTTTTGAGTAGGGGATGATAAAATGGTGAAGGGATAAAGTGGATATCGTGAGACTGAGAAATGAGTGGAATTGGGGTGGATGATGTGAAATTCCCAAAGAATCAATCAGGAAAGGCTGTGTAAAAAGAGAAAACAGGGCGGTGGTGGCGCATGCCTTTAATCCCAGCACTTGAGAGGCAGGGCCAGGCGGATCTCTGTGAGTTCGAGGCCAGCCTGGGTTACCAAGTGAGTTCCAGGAAAGGCACAAAGCTACACAGAGAAACCCTGTCTCCAGAAAACAAAAAACAAAACAAAACAACAACCCAAACTAACAAACAAAGAACAAACCAAAAGAAAACACCAGCTCTGGGGGGAGCCCTCAACTTGATCCCAGGAGGTACAATATAAACAAACTGTGAATGTGAAAAATGTACAGAACATGGGTGAATAGGGCTGGAGACATGGCTCAGAGGTTAAGGGCATCTTGTTCTCTTGCAAAGCACCAAGTTTTATTCCCAGCACCACAAGACAGCTCACAACTATCTGTAACTCCAGTTCCAGGGATCTGACCGCCTCTTCTGGCCTCTGATGCTACAGGCACTCATGAATTGCACATACCTACACGGGGGCAAACAGTCACACGTACAAAAATAAAAATCAATAAATCAGTAAAACATGATACCTCAGTGGTTTACTGAACATAAGAAAGTATGCATATGCCCTTGCCTAAGATGGTGGTGCAGTTGAGCAATCCTGTGTCCATGTTTGTAAGTAAACACAGTGGTTGATGTAGGAAGTGATAGAGGTACATGTTTACATTCACAGTGGGAAAATCAATTCCTTAGAGGAGAAAACGTGAGGAGGGGAGGTGGGAATACAAAGCCACTTTTTAGAGCACATGAGCATGTGAAATGTGGAAGAGAGCAGCACAAGAAGACGGGGGAACCCAGGAGGGAGCTGTGCTCTGCAGAGTCCTTGCTAATGAGAGGACCACACAGTTAGAGGAAGGCTGTTGGGAGCGCTCCTTCTCAAAGCTATCACAATCATGAAGAAAAAGGATGTCTGGGGCACCGAAAGGGGTGCAAGGCACGGGAGAGGAAAATGGGGCGGGGAAGCAGTGCCACCTGACTAACTTAGCAGGAAGGCTTGTCAACAAAGAGCAGCACACTTGAGAAAGAACAGATGATGGAGAAGGGTCTTACATAAAACCGAGAGTGACACAGAGTTGCATGCGGATGGAGCAAACCAAACACCAGTGAAGGAAAATGGAAAGGTGTGAGAGTACAGAGACTGCTCCCAGACGTTAACATTTGGAAGCATTAAAGAGATCAGAGACACTAGGAGAGCCGCCCTGTTAAAGGTATAACCCTACTCAAAAAGAAATACTGACAACCCGCATTTCTGTATCTGGTCACGCTGAGAAGGAAGGTTTAGATGAGCCAGAGATGCATAGGGATGAGGACTGAGGTTCGAACCTCCGAGATCTAGAATGATGAATGGTAATGTGGAGTGGCAGGATGGATGAAGGCCTGCGTTCACTGAGGATAATTCTACATCCTGGATGCACGTGTTTCTGTCCCTCTGTGTCCAGATTCTTAGACCTGGAGGAAGGTGAGGGTGGATGGCTTGTTGAGAGAGAAAAGAAAGGGGGGGGGGGTGCTACAGTACAGTCAGCTATTTGGGGTTGTCTTTCTCCTCAGCAGAGGGAGGAAGGGGAACTTCTCAGGAAGCAGCAGGGAAGCTGTGGTCCTGGAAAGACTTCAGATGGAGTCTCACAGAGGACTAACGCTCTCGTAGTGCGCAGAGGATGGCTGCTTGTTCTTGGCCTCTGGGAACATACACACAAAGCAATCGCTTCCTGGCCGTTTTGGTGCACACTTCAGTCACCCTGGTCCCTTCCCACTGTTTGCTGAGGTCTGTTACGCACACAGAGCTTGAACTCCTGGGAGTGCTGTGTATATTTTGGGGGGTGGAGGGGTGTTGAGGAGCAGCAGAGACAAGGTAAGCATTGCCTTCCAGAATGGCCATTCCTCTCTGGGATCTTCTCCAAAGGAAACAGGCATCTGGAGTCCCTCGGTGGCTGTGAAACATGGAGGACTCACTGGCACATGGGACCTCAGGAGTGCAGAGGATGGATGCAAACACTCCTTGTAAATACTGATTGAATGCCTCCCAAGGCCCCTGGAGGCCAGGAAGGTGGTAAGCCTTGGTGTGGTTCCCTCGCATGAAGGGCACAGCCATGAATTTAGGTGGCTCATCTCAGGTGGGGGTGAGTTTCTTGACCTAATCATCCAAGACGGTCCAGGCCAGGGGAAGTGCCTGGTGGGCAGTTGAACACCAGGAAAGGGCAGAGTGGCTGGGCAGATGGACGTCCAGACAGGCACCTGAAAAATGAGAGTGAAGGGAAGAGAACCTGGGGGCTTGCCCCTGCTTTTGTGCAATGCTTTGTGACAAATTCATGCTGTCAGGCCTCTCATGCTGACCTGGCTCTGAAATGGTGCAAGAAGACAAAGGTCCAAGTTGTCTCCTCAGGAGAGCCGGGCGGTTGGGGGGGGGGGGAGCGGGAGGGGTGGGGGAGAGCTGAAGGGCAGGCTGAAGCAGTTGATGTGTTTTCTACAAGCAGGAAACTGGGCAGTAGCCCCCCTGGAGTCTGTCTCTTTAAAGCCCAGTAGACTAGGAGTTGGAAGGAAGTGAGAGCCTTCCAGGCTGATCCCCTCATCAGGACATAAGTTCTCTCAGGTCACAAAGGAGAAGAGAGACACCTCTCATGTCCCTCATGGCTCCACTGGTGAGGATTGAAGTGCACCTGTAGGGGCAAAATGCTGAAGCCAGGCTGGGATGTGGGTTTTTGTCCTAAAATTGACTGGAAATCCAAACAATATGACAGAGGCAAGAGGGTGTGGAAAGGGGGGAGCAGCTTGAGAGTGACAGACAAGACAGCTAGGTGTGACGGTCATAGTTTGGGGGTACAAAGCCCTGTTGGTGAGGGGGAGTCAGGGACCAGGTCTGCAGAGCATCCTGCTGCAGCATGCGGATGTAGACGTTCACTTCAGAGCTCTGTACCTTCTTGTCTGCCCCCACCAAGCAGCGATGGGAGGGCAGGGTGGAATTGCGAAAGGTCCCATTTTCCCCGTAATAGAGGCTTGTGTACTGCAGAGGAGAAGAGAACACAAGCACTTCTCTGCTTCCTTTTGTCTCATATTTAGTCCCTAGATCATGAGCCTCAGTTGCCATGGGAACTGAAGCTGAGTGTGTGATGCATTCACTGGGCTGTGGGAGAAAAGCAGAGCTGGTCCTTGAAATAAAGCCCTCTGGGAATAGAGATTTTAGCAAAGTGTTCCCGTTAAGAGAATTAGTAATTTCTAGAAATATATCGATCTCTGGGACTAACAACAGATAGGAGGAGTGGAGGGCAGGAGAACGGGAGGGAGGGAGGAAGGGAGGGAGGGACGGAGGGGAGATGGGAGAGAGGAGAGACAGGAAGAGGGATAATGGGAAGGAGGGAGGGAGGGACACACACAGAGGGAGACAGAGCTAGAGAGGGGGAGACTGAGAGAGGGGGAGACTGAGAGAGAGGGAGAGAGGTGGAGACAGAGGGAGAGAGAGAGGGAGAGAGAGCTAGCCCCCCTACCTAGGATGTATCTTTGTGGTGTATCACACTGATGCTGCCTGGAACACAGGATTCTAGTGCGTGAGGCTGCCATGAAAAGTAGTGGGGAATTTAATTAGAATCAAGGCTGTCAGGGGTCCCCCGAAACTTGCTGTTTTGAACCATTTTGGCAGAGGAAGCAAGGAATAGGTCTAGCCAAGACCTGCGTAAAATGTACTGTTAACAGGCATGGCAAGCTGTAATGTGACACACAGGACAGGGGATGAGGCATCTTGTGCCCCTTCCCCTTGGCTTCCCTATCTGCTTTCAGAGGGTCTTCACAAAGAGACCCAGGCTGCACCTCAGATGGAAAGTCTCCTGTGCTCTTCATCAGTAGCAAAAGGAAAATACAACCCGTGGTCCAAGAGGAAATCTCTGCAACACAAACACTGGCAATCCAACAGTAAATGGGCAAAGCCATTTGAACCTGTCTCCATGGCAACCCGAGAAAAGATGTACATGGGGCCTGGAGAGGAGGCTGGGGTCAAGTTCACTGAGGCATTGCCAGAGCTGGGTCAGTGATCTCTGGCAGGCCATGCTCTCCTCTGCCTTGCTTTCCTCCTTTCGGTCACGGTGTCAGGCAGGACCAGAGAGCATTGGTGAGAAAGGAATGGAATTAGACGTGTGCTTAGGTAGATGGGGGCGCGGTTCGGAGTGAAGACAGAGTGTGGTGTGTGGGTGGCAGGTCTTGCCTGCTGGACCCCCTGGGTTCCTCCATGGTATCAAAGACATGCTGCCAGGTCCGCGGCAGGCATCGTGTCCTCAGAGGGCTCTAGCTTTCAGTCCCGATACTGCTACCTCCTGGCTACCTCAGACTGAGTGGCCTCCATCTTGGGGCCTCTGGTTCCTCATCTACAGGATGGGTAAAATAGATCACCACCCCCTCTGCAGTGCAGATAAATGAAACCATAGGCCAGACAATAAATTGCATATGAATGGCCAAATAAAAGTTCTCCATACCAGTGAGCACTAGAAACCTGTGAATCCACACTTTGTCCTACTCTTAAAAGTGGAGGAGGGGTCAGGCGATCAGCCAGGGTGGAGGAAGAAGCTGTGTGGGAGCAGTCAAACATCATAGGTACTTACTGCTGCCTCAGACCTGTCACATCCAGAGGGCTGAGAAAACACCTGCCCGTCAGAACCTGGTGCCATTGTGGTGGCTGTGTGGGTAAGAGCAGTGGGTGTGTGGGAGCCCTCTGTCTCCTGCTGCTGATGAGGGTGAGGATCTGAGACCTCCAGGTGGCCTGTCTGGCCTTCCTCTGGGACCCACTGTCTTAGTCAGGGTTTCTATTTCTGCCATAAACGCCATGAGCATAAGCAACTTGAGGAGGGAATGGTGTACTTCGTCTTAGTTTGCGGTCCTTCTTCCAGTGAACTCATGGAAGGAAGCTGGAGGCAGGAGCTGAAGCAGAATGCATGGAGGAAGGCTGTTTACTGCCCTGCTCATCATGGCTTGCCCACCTTGCTTTCTCATAGCACTCAGGACCACCTGTCCAGGGGTGGCACCATCCACAATCAACTGGGCCCTGCCACTTTAACCATTAATCAAGGAAATAACCACAGGTATTTTCCCATAAGACTTTCCCAGAGGCCATTCGGTTGGTGGAGTTTTCTCAATTGAGGTTCCCTCTTCCTAAATAACACTAGCTTATCTCATGTTGAAATATAACTAGCTACCACATACTGTCTGAACACTTACCACACTATGTCACTCCATCTTTTCAGCCTGCCTTGGCTGCTCCCCTTCTCCTGGTCCTGTTTGCTCTCAGCAAGACTTCCTGTAGAGTAGTAGCAGGTGTGGATCCCTGGTCAGGCCTTCTTGGAAAGGTGTTCTTGGAGGAGGCTGGGTAGCAGCACCCATGAAGGGATTTATCAACTTTTTGGAGCTGTTTCTTTCTCCTATGTGCTATCCTATCTCAAGCATGCTCTGCACGTGGTGCTCACACTCAGACTCATGGTTTATGGTTAGTGTTCTTACCCCGATGACAGAGAAGATATGTGCCAAAACTTTCAGGAATGTGTCACGAGAT